ACCACTCAGAAGTTAGTGCTGTATCACAGTAACAGTGATCTTTGAAAACTTACAGAAAATTCAAGAAATCTGTAAAGATAGGAGACATAAAAACATACCAAAAAGGGTGAGTTTCTGGAAATTACAAACCAATAAGCCTGACGTTATAACTTGGTAAAATTGTAGGCTTTATTATGAACACATTAAAAGCATTTAGAAAAAAATGTAGGGATAATCAAGGGTACACCTAGTGTCACTAATGACAAATATTACCAGAGTAACCTTGATCCCAATTTTTCCATTATCAGAGGGTATGTACATGTAAGAAATGCTGCAGGTGTGCCTTGACAAAACCATCCAAGCAATTATCCTCTGACATTGATTTACATAAGACTACGAAATATGGGGATGTGGCGATGACAAAAGGTTAAACAATCGTATCCAGAGAGTATCTATTCATAGCTTGGGGTCAGACACAGGAAGAAAAAGGCTAATACATTTGCAAATAACCACCACGTTGCAATAGACCACTAATGTCTCACATGGTAGCGTATTTTAAACTCAATTATCGACATCTAACTAAAATGTTAATTCCTGGAGTTGAGGTATTAAAAAAAACCCTATCTTTCAGAGGATGTAGTGTGATGTGGCTTCTTAAAAACAAACAAACAAACAAACACAAAAACACCCCAAACAAACACAAAAAGCTCTAATACTCAGAAACTGATTTATTCAGAAGAATACCCAGCATTTACAGAGAGTTGAATTTTATGCTCCCCTGGGAGAATGACAGTCACAAATCAGTGGTGGAAAAAGGCCAAGAGAGCCGGGCAACACGACCAGGTGTGTGGGAACCACGTGATCGCAGGAGAGCTGGGGGCTTGGGACAGTTAACCCGAGGCAGTCTTTCTCAACCTGAGTTCAGTGAAGAAACTAAGCCTTAAGACATCTGCTGTCTGTGATGAGTTAACGTCCCCACAACGTGTCTGCAATGATGTCACCATCTCTGTCCCTGGGAGAACTGAGAAGACACTCCAATCTTCCATAGGGCTTACTCCTCTCATGGTATCTCAAAAGATAAACCAAAAGCTATCT